TTCGATCTTTGTATTAATAATTATATGGCCCTTCTTTCGTCTCTATTTCTGGTTATATACTCCATGGATAGCAGCAACATGGTTCATTATTACGTCAACAAATATATCAATTCTCACCTCGCCCAATCCTCGGCAATCTAGACCATTCCCACCGAAGATGGGCTAGGAGAGGTCTCGCTTCGCTGGTGGAAAACCACTTTCACACCTAGATCAATAACCGCCAACTCAAAGAGTTTGTCAATACGTGACAGAGGGAGTAATCATCGCAACCGGTTATGAGCTTATAATGTAGTTTCATCTTCCCATTATTCCAGGTACTACCAGCGAGCAAAATATCTCTCCAAACTGTTCAATAGTCGTCCTGAACCGCCATCTAAATTAATATCACATTACGTTGAACTAGCCATCGAAAGCAAAGGTGAGTCTATAGCGAATATTTGATGATAATTTTTATTTATCTATGTATAATGTATACTTTCATTGTCATAATAACTTAAAATTCTTTTTTTATATTTGATTTCGTGTTATACATGACCATCGAGTATATAACTAGAAATAGAGACGAAATAAGGGCCATCCATCCCTGGCAACTCATCAGGCAAATGGGCCTTATATCACATTTAAATATCAACACTCGTTTGCACTAAAATCACAAATTAAAAATCAAAATCAAAATCAAAATAATCTTTATTTCATAGGTAAGCATTATTACACTTGAAATCGTCACAATGGTTAAACTCTACCGCTCATTCGTAAGGCAGATTCCCCTGAGAAGAATGAGCAAGAAACTCTAGGGGTTGCTCTTTGTAAATAACATTTACAATATTTTTTTATTTGAAACATCAGATTGAGACTACCTCCATGAGCTAAACGGGTTACTACCACGGATTTTTGTCATCCAAGTACGCAGAAGTTGTATAATAACCTTTAGTATAAAGTTTTTGTTTCACTATAGTTTTAAACCTCGTGAAAGGCAAATTTTGTATATCAACCGGAATCTTGTTATAGAAGCGTATACATTGCCCCTTAAATGATTGTTTGACTTTGTGAAGACGACTATCAAGAAAAGCTAGTTTATTTTTATTCCTCGTATTAATGTTATGTCTGTCACTATTTTTCATAAAGAAATTACTATTCCTTTTAACATAAATTATATTTTCATAAATGTATTGTGAGGCTAGTGTAAGAATGTTAATTTCCTTAAACTTATCTCTCAAAGATACTTTGGGGCCCAGATTGTAAATTGCCCTAACTGCACGTTTCTGCAGGACAAAGATTCTATTGATATCGGCGGCATTACCCCAAAGCAAAATGCCGTATGTCATTAGACTGTGAAAGTAGCTGAAGTAAACCAATCTAGCGGTTTCGACGTCTGAAAGTTTCCTTATTTTTTTAATCGCGTACACTGCAGAGCTGAGCCGTTTTGACAACTTACTTATATGGGGACCCCATTGCAATTTAGCATCTAACGTTATACCTAGAAATACAACTGTATCCACAAGATTCAATTTTTCGTTTCTAACTACAATGTTTGTAACCGTCTCTCTAACATTGGGTAATGTAAATTTCACACAATTTGTTTTTTTCTCATTAAGAAGTAGGTTATTAACAGCAAACCAATCAACTACTTTAGATATAGCATTGTTCACATCGTCATAGGAACATTGGTGCCTTTTAACTTTAAATAATAAGGAAGTATCATCAGCAAACAATACTATCTCATGTTTTATACCCTCCATAAGGCTAGGTAAATCATTAATATAAACTAAAAACAAAAATGGGCCTAGAATTGAACCTTGAGGGACACCCATGCTAATTACAGACCCTGACGATCTCGTACCGTTAACATCGACCCTCTGTACCCTACCACGCAAATACGATTTAAGAAGGTCGAGATCACGTCCCGCCACACCATAATGGCGAAGTTTCCTGACCAGTGTATCATGGTGCACACAATCAAAAGCCTTGGAAAGGTCACAGAATACACCAATAGCATCATATGAGACTTCCCATGCATCAAATATATGATTAATCAACTCTACACCAGCGTCGGTTGTAGAGCGACCCCGAGTGAAACCAAATTGTTTAGGAGACATTAAATTATTACTATAAAAATGTGCACACATCTGATTTAGAATAATTTTTTCAAATATTTTACTGAGAGTTGGTAGTATTGATATAGGTCTGAAATTGGTGGGGTCAGAAATACTACCAGATTTGAAAAGTGGAATAACTTTACTTTGCTTCATGAGGTCAGGAAAGACACCATCATCAACACATTTATTAAAGACACAGGCTAAGTAAGGCGCAATACAATCAACTGTAGAACTAATTACTCTGACTGAAAGACCATCAAGATCAGCAGTATTTTTTATATTTATAGACTTAAAGGCTTTAACAATATCGTTTGGAAATACATGACGGAACCTTAAATTAGTGATACTAACTGCATTATTTTCTTTTAGTAAGGATTCAGCGGCCGTGGGAGATGAATTTAACGAATTAGTAGTCAAAATTGGAATGTTGGTAAAAAAATTTTCAAATATTTTAGCAACTTCTGCGTCTGTGTTTACAATTTTGTCATTAAATCTTAGTTGAAAATCTAAGTTACGAGGTTTGACCCTTCCAGTTTCGCTATTTATAATATTCCAAGTCGTTTTTACTACATTCGCGCTGCTTTTTATTTTATTATTAATAAACATTGCTTTGGCTGCCACACAAACACGTTTAAACATTTTCGAATATTTCCTAACAAAATCATTAAAACTGTTACTAGTGTTATAAGTTCTTTCATCGTAAAGATCATACAGCCTTTGTCTACTTTTGTGAATTCCCACAGTCGCCCATTCACTAAATTTCAATGAATTATTAATAGTTATGATTTTGGACTTAAAAACATTATCACGTTCACGTTTCACTATGTTGAAAACTGAATTATACAATTTATTGGGATCGTTAACGTACGGAATGTCAGTTAGTTTAAGCATTACGTTATTTCTATAAGCTTTAAGTCGACCATTATTTTATATTAGAAAGATGAAATAGTACAGCGCCAACAACTGACCTGTGTGTACGTCTCCGTATATTCCAAAAATATTCTGTATTTATTGTAATAAAGATAATAATTTCTAACTATGGGGGGCTATTCCATTCGGTGGTGTGGGAAAAACAGCAAAACAACTTTTTTTCCAAAAATTATTAAAATTTAAATAAGGCATTTTATTAATAACAATTGTAACTATAGTGAAAATAATAGGGTGGTTTGCATTAACATTAGACATAACTGATTGATGACTGCACCACCTCAGTCAACCGTGACCATGGGAACTGTAAAGGGACCGAAACGTTGGTTTGTTTGAAAAAACAAATATACGCGATTTAAATCGGGAAAAATAGTTTCATTTCCTAAAACACCTGATTACAAAACAAACGAAATCACATTTCATCGGTAATTAAATATTAAATATGTAATTTTTCAATTTTTATCTATTATCGCAAAGCTCAAGTTAAACTGGTCGATTGAAGTGAAACAATTGATGACACCCGTCGTTTGTTTCGAATTCGGGCTGGCCAATCGGAGCGCAGTTGTCACAGTAATGATTTGGCAGAATAGTTTTCAAACAAATTAAATGACATTTCGTCTCTATTTCTTGTTATATACTCGATATACACGACAGACCCATAGGTACAATCACTAACCATTGTAATTTCCACAGGAGCCTACCACCTCCGTTCGGCAACGTATTTGTACAAATGGTACGAAAGATGGATGCTTGACCAAGTGGCATTCGTTTTAGTCGTACTGTACGTGTTGAAGAAAATTGTACAGAAACTTTGTTGTGTACTGTGTGGAAAGAAACAGGAGATGCAGAAGAAGGAAGGTTTATTAGAAAAACAGAAGACAAATGCTGGGCGAAAGAAAAAGGTGCAATAACGCCTTTTGAATACTTATAGCCGAAAAATAAAAATTACATTAAAATATCGATTATACAAGCATTTTGTATTTTTTATAAGTAAATACGTGCCGCATTTGACCTCCATCTTACCTGATAGAAAGCGACGATTAGGTCGACGATGTAGCATACACACTTATAATCTCTCTTTTTTAAGACGGAGTAAAATGACATTTGTAGGGTTGCCAGTTTTCATACAATAAATTAAATAGTAAAAGCAAAGAAAAACATACACAGTAATGTTAGTAACATCGAGTATGTAACCATAAATAGAGAAGAAATGTCATTTAATTTGTTTGAATACTATTCTACCAAATCATTACAGTGACATCTGCGCTCCGATTGGCCAGCCCGAATTCGAAACAATTGACGGGTGTCGTCAACTGTTTCACTTCAAATCGACCAGTTTAACTTGAACTTTGCTATAATGGAGGAAAATTGCAAAATTACATATGTCATATTTAATTACCGATGAAATTTGATTCCGTTTGTTTTGTAATTAGATGTTTTGCTGTTTTCCCCACTCCACCGAATAGAACAGCATGGCATTGTTAGAGAAATTATCTTTATTACAATAAGTACAGAATATTTTTTGTAATATACGGAGACGTACACACAGGTCAGTAGTTGGCCCGTCTATGTTTCAGTGCAAACGAGTGTTGATATATATAAGAGCTGTATCGCTAATGTGTTACCAGAAATATATGGCCCTTATTTCGTCTCTATTTCTGGTTATATACTCGATGGTTGCCAGGTATGGATGGTCCTTAATTCGACTCTCTTTCTGGCTATACATATACTCGATGGTTAGTAATTACCACGGAAAAAAAAACAATGAACTGCACTTTTAAAGCAGTACGATATACTACCTCAGCTTGAATTCAAATTTGTCCCGTACTAATACGGTACATTTTGCTTGGGTCGAGCGGCTGGGACACTGGCTTTATTTCAGATTTTTTTACAAACGAATTTTAAAACCATTTGGAAAATGTATATCGTATACTATACGTGTCCTATTTAGTTCAGTTGATATGAAATAAAATCATGGGTGTATGTAAGTACCTATTGAATACAGGTTTTCTTTTAAAATTTCAAGTTAATATTGTTTTTTTTTCTATCATGAAAATTATTAATCGCTTTTTCACACCGCATCAGTCATATCCTCAATTTTACTAAATATTTTTTCCAAATGATCGATTCAACATTTTCAATGTTATGCGGAACCAAACAAAGCCATTTGAGGTTGTATACACTTTTAGCCTCGAATATGAACCGCTGTCGCCAAAACATTCACACATTTATAATTTTAGACTCTATGAAACCTCGATAACGATTGGTCATAGTTTTTAACTTAACAAGAAGTAACAAATTCTGGACTATAATTTACGGTCTATAATTTAAACTTTACGCTATTGGTATAACGTTGAAAGTTCAGTACCTATTATTGCAAGTTACGACATTTTGAATTTGATTGATGATGATGGTGATAGGTCGATACCTCCAATGAACCCTTTTGTAGCAAATTGGTAATTTTGTATTGTTTTTGTAAACAGCCATATTTATTTATAAAATTATGCTCCCCGAATTTTGTAAAGAAACGAAAATCAAAACACGATTTGCTAGAAGACGTCTCGGTTCCAATCCGGCCGGATCGACGGATTTTTTCAGTCGTGTTCGATCTTTGTATTAATAATTATAAAAAGCAAGAAAACGAGTATTGTGAAAAAAGAAATAAAGAAACAAAAAACTAAATAGAAACAGAATAGGTCCAAAAATAAAGTTGCCGTAGTTTATTGGAGGTATCGAACTTGGCCGTGGGGGTAAACCTCAAAATTTAAGAAAATAATACTTAAGTTGTAAAGAGTTTATTAAAAAAAATTAAGTAATACAAATTTTATTATACTAAAAAAGCCTATTGTCATGGTTATCGCTTGATGTGCAAAAAACATACCATTTATTTAGGTTTACAGTAATATAAAAACACATTTAAATTATTTGTTACGGCTTTACCTTGAAAATAAATCGCAGTAACAGAGCGAGAGAGATACAAGTCAAATAACTTCCGAAAATAAATCCGGACAGCATAATATTTCGCGCAATACTTGAATTGGCCAGCACACTGTTTGTCCCGCTAGGTGGAGGACTAGCGCTGGTGCTGTTGGACTGTCAAACTTCGCGATGACGTAGCAATGTTTAGTATTTAAATATTTAAGTATAATTATACCGGAAAATTAAATGATATTTCACGATTATATTTGTGGCTCTAGTCAAAAGGGGTGCAAGTCAAAAACCTAACTTTATGAAGAAACGCGACAACACTTAACGCTTAATATCACGCTTAATTTAACTGTTTGGCGAATACTTAAATAGCAAAAATAACCACAGAAATCAGACCTTTAATTCGGAAATGGCCAACTACATACAGTTTTACTTTAAAAAAAACTGTAACTTAATGTGATTCTGCTAACAAATGCTTTGTAAGGCAATTGTACGTCAATATAAACAAGTACAACTTTCTCTGCCGAAATGAAAAGAAGGAATCAATAAATCGATACCTCCAATAGACGCTACGCCGACTTAATTTTTAGAAATATATTTTTTATTTTTGTTTTTTTTTCCACAAAATTCGTTCTTTTGTTTTTTTTTCGAAATTCGTTTTTGTTGCTTAATTTTTTTTTCACGAAATTTGAAGAGGATAATATTAGTATGACCAAAACAAAGTTGTAGCAGTGTTCATTGGAGATATCGAAATCAATGCCTTATGCAGACAAAATAGAACATGAAACCTATTTTTATTTATGGCAAAAGCAGGTTCACTGGTTTGATCCAATGGATGTATACAAGTGATATCTATCCAGGACCGGCGAAGTTTTTTTTCATAATATCAAGTGACGGGACGAACAAGTCGTGCGTCTGAAGGTAAGCCACACGACTGTCCATGACAGTTGCAGTACCACTCAGAGCTTTAGAGTCGAAACACAAAACTGCGAAACTGCGCGATGCGAATTGCTGCGACGCCATTTCGTGCGGCAATCTCACTGCCACGGTACCCGTAACCATTCGTAGCGATATGGATCGTAAAAAGAGTGGTGCACTGCTGTGAAAATATAGGAAAAAAAACACAAAGAAGATTAACATCGCACAAATGCGCGATGCGAAGAAATCCGCAAATTCTTGCGATGCGTCGTGCGAGCTCGTAGATTTCTGTGCGACGTCCTATCGCAGTTTTGTGTTTGGACTCTTAAATCGCAAAGATCTGAGGGTACTGCCACTGCGCCCGTCACCCTGACACAAGTTGACAAGTCCCATGTGGCTGTAATTTCACCACAGTGGTGGCTCCATCCGAGATTAGATTAGCCTGTGGTATTTATTGCATATTTGTTTGTTTGGTTTGTACATAAATCTGCCGTCTGCAATATCCCATTTGTCACTTAGCCGAATTTTAGTTAGTGGATGGCAGAAATTCATTTGCTTTTATGGAATAAAACGAGATAGGCTAGTTTGCGCTTTAATTCTTTAGAGAAACTGTCCGTATTAATATATTAAATTCAAATCTATAATTGACTTATTTGATGAGATCAAAAGTGATATATTTCTCGAGATATCACATTGTTTCTCTCGGTTGTCGTATATGAAACGTCTCTTATACTAAACACTATCTAGGATGATCCATGTGGCACTTCATTTGACATTTGTCATAGAGATGAGGAAAAGTCGATAGATTTTAGTGTATTTGATTTTTGAAGCAAAGGTCTCTTATAGTTTAATTTTCTTACGTATTCTGAACGATGTATAGATATGTGAACCGTTTTGTATTAGACTGAAGGCATAAAACGTATAATTCAAGTCCTAATGCAATTTCAATATATTTTGTAGTAAATTTGTAAAAGCATTTATCATATATAATTTATAAGTTTTAAAAAAGTGTTAACAATTGCTTATAATTGAAACTTTTGATTATAATTAAATTAAAACTTTTTGTCGATATACCTCATCTCTAGCAAATGCAGTGTAATTAAGTAACCTATGCACGTTGTCATAAAAAAATATTGAATTTTTGAAAAAAAAAATGTTTTCCGCACATTTGTCACAAATTAACATTGATTTGGTTTTATTTTTACTTTTAAATTAGTGAATTCACTTAAACAAAATTTTTAAAAAGACTTATAAATATAGTTTATGAAATACATAAATTAGTGCACATATTTTGTAGATTTTTATGAACTGTCACAGTGATAATCGTAGATTATTTTTAGTATAACTTTGACGTCTTCAGCTATGTGTAATTTTATTATATTATGTCATGATGTAACCGTTCTATTGCAAAAAACGATTCGTATGTGGTAAGAAGCCTGTAACTAGTAATAATTTACGGAATAACCTTAAAAACCATGTTTAAATAAATCTATTTAAATATTATGAGTGTATCCTCTAGTGTCGAAGCCTTTCCCCTTGACCTTGTCGTCAATCCAGTTGCGAAGATTGGACACATCCACGTACACTCCGGGAACGCCGGTACCGCACTCGATACCCCACGCGACGATCCCACTTTGCATGTAGCGGCCCTCCTCATACTGAAAACAAACGTGACATGCTTATACGTATACTTCAAAAAGTCAATAGGTTTCCCAAATATCACCGCGCACTTAGGTAAAATAAAAAATGTCAACGCCTACCACCATAAAAAATAATTAAAATTAGATTGTTTATATTAACACGAACACGAACTCAAAAAGTCCCATCTCAACAAAATAAGAACCTGCCAAAGAGGGATAGAAAGAAACTATATGAATATAAAACTGAAAGACCGCATTAAAATCTCAGTAGTGAGAAAAAACACAAAGGCAAGAGACGTTGTACCTCGGGTGTTGTAACTAAAGTGGAAATGGGCTGGTCATATTCAAAGAGTCACAGGCAGAAGGTGGTCACAGATAGCCACGAACTGGTACCCGATTTATAAGAAAAGGGACGAGGCAGGCCATCAAAGAGGTGAAATGGTGATATCGTAGAAGTAGCAGGAACTCTATGGCCAAGACTGGTACAAGACAGAGTCCGTTGGAAGAAGATGAAGGAGGCTTCCACCGGTAAAATGGCCCTTACACATAACACTACTAACTGTAAATTAAGACTATACTAACCGTACTAACAAATAGAAATTGAATAAGTTATATAGTAAACTGAACCGTTGTAAGGGATATATAAAGCCATTATTATTATATTAACACGTTTCCTGTGGAACTGGAGTTGAGATATTGACCCCTCACCTGTATTTTTTATATTTTGCAAATACATTGGAATTGGCATCTTAAAATATTTATGGATGGAAAAATCATTTCCATAAACCCCTTTCCCATTTTCTCTTTCTTCCCAAGTGCCCCACGTGTGATACACGCACGTATGAGTTCTATACTTGATGCCACATATATGGTGCATGCACGTACTAATTCTCTGCGTAATGCATCACATAGAATTCATGCACGTTTAGAGTTATTCTGACAGATGTTTTAATCTAATTTATTTTGCAGAAATTTTGTTGCCAATTGGTTTGTAGGATTTTTAATGGCATACCTACTTTTCTAGACTAAGAGGGAAAATATACATAATAAAAAAAATAGACTTTTTTTTGAATATATATATATATATAACTTCTTGTTCAAATACGTTATTAAAGTAATATAGTAAAGTAATATATATATATATATATATATAAGCTTTTCTTCAACAAAAATCAGTAAAAACGAACTGCATATTATGTGAAAACGCGTATGCGAAGATTTCTCTCTAACGCGACGATATAGAACAACGCCAGGGCCACACAACGCATCTTGTTGCATCGCTCTTTTAGGTAGGCGCGTTGCGTGCCACCAGGCGAACAACTTTCTCCCGTCACTTGATGTTAAAAAGGTGGCTTACCTCAATAGGGCAGACTAAAGGCGATCCTCCATCGCCTCTACACGTGTCCTTTCCCTCGCTGCCTGCGCACATGAAAGAGGTATGCAATTGGAAGAACCGCCCAAGCCGCGTGCTGCGGAGAGCGTTCTGACAGGTGTTGCGATCAACGACTGGCACTTCCACCTGGAAAATTTCATGAAATTATAAATATTAACACAACACATGAACAACCCTTGGGGCGCGTATACACGCTAAGAAATTCGACGTGTCTGTTACAGAAAAGATGAGAATGGTCTTGTACACGACAAGAACTTTGTCGGATCTAACCATGAAAACGTATCGTGTCTGTTGCAGACCAGAAAATGGCGAATATGTACACACGTTACGAATGCTTTCCTAGTACATTACGAGTCTTCCAGGTAGCTGTCGTTTTACAACCGACTGGGAAGAAATATGTTGACTACTAAGCAACACCGTTCAACAACAACGTTCATTTACTAACAATGCCCCTCACCCCGCCCCATGTAATAGCGGCAGAGCGCGTCGTTTCCGGGGTAAACAAGATTTTTTTCTTGTCCGGCGCCGAGGCAGTGTACACAGTTCGTGCGTAGAAACGACATGGATTCTTGTATAGACCCGGCGACTTTTCTTATCATGGACTCGCGCCCTTACGGTTTGTAGACAGGCTAGGGAAGCGTTCCCCATGCTTAACGCCAGTCTATCTCGTAAATTCATTAAGGTTAAAGGGAAAGAGCTGCGTATTCTAACTGCAGCTCTATCGGGTAATACACCTTTCAATCTAAGTATCACGGACAGCCTATGCAGTACAAATTTCTAAGTTTTTTATTATCAACAATGGTCGGAAAAAGGTATTCCACATATATAGATACATGTATAGATAAACCTACAAGGAGCGACATTGAGTTGTTAAACCACCAAATATTAATTAATTACTTTTTTCGAATTCCGGATTTCTGGATGAAAGAAACTCTTCTCTTTATTCTATTTATGAAGATAAATAGCCGTACATGGGTAAGGCCGTCAAAAATAGCACTTTATTGTCTTGCCCTAAACGTGCAGCAGTTTTTTTTTTCATAAACAGTATTAAAATAATCTAGTGTGAATATTCTCTTTTTAAAATACGACATTTCTGCTAGTGGTTGTTTTTTAATTTAAATAAAATATCTTTAGAGCGATCACAACGATTCTCATGCAATCCAAAATGTCTCAAAATTCCCCTCGTAAATAAAATTGTAATTTTTTTTCTTAACTTCTATTAGCAAATGTCGCCGTTTCGCCATTGTGACCGTCATTATGCGGTAAAGTAACCATTCTTATTAATTTTTTATTCTCTGTTTTGGTAAAAGATCAGTTATCTGCTGCATTTTTTAGATGGCACCATTAGAATTACTTTAAAATCCAACTTCGACTTCCTAGGTCAGTAGTTTTGTCTACGATGCAGGAAAACCATTACTGGAAATCCGGAACTCGAAAACAGAAATTATTTAATATTTGGTGGTTTTAACAACTCTATGTCGCTCCTTATAGCTACATCTATACAGGAATGTAGAACACCTTTTTCGGACCATTGGTTATCCATTTATTTATTTCTTTTATTTATTTTATTTTATTTTATTTATTTATATCAGGTAACAAAAAGACCCATGTATACATACCTTATAGACTAACATACATAACAATATAAAAACAAAATACACCTATATTATATATACCTTAAAACTAACATATATACAATATAATAATAAAAAAAACTAATCTACACGATTTCACTTATCGGCGACGTGCGGCGCAATCTGGTGTCAGGTAACCGACCGCGGAATCGCCGATATATGACACCCTTCGGCCAAAATTCCTCTTTCATGAAGGTCGAAAGATGTTCGGTCGATTTATATAATTTTTCTTGAATTAAACTATTCAATCTTGGGAACAGCCAAAAATCGCAATGGGCTACATCGGGACTGTACTGAACTTATGTTTCGCAAAAAAACTGTTGGACGAGGTTCGATTTTTATTGAAATCGGTAAGCGAAAAGTAGAGGAAACTCAACAAACCGGATTCTTCCCCGAATTGAATGTTACCACTATTGAGACACTCCCTTTTCAACAGAAAAAGAATCATTGAAACCGGTTTACAAAATATCGAAGTAATGACGTAACATACACAAAAAAGTACAGTCGAATTGATACCTCCTCCTTTTTTTGAAGCGGTTATAATTCAAGTTGTGATATTATAAATAACATGTCCATACGTCCCGCTTTGAGCGGGGTAGTCCCGCTTTTAGGCTTAGTGTACCACTTTTAGGCTTCGTGTACCGCTGTCCCCAAAATATTTGTGTCCCGGTTTCACAAAACAGAACACACATAACAATATTTTTTTTAAATGGCGTGAGAGCGAAAAATATATAAAGCCAGTCAACTAGACATCGAGCACCAGACTACACGAGACGGTTACCTATCTGTAGTCCGAAATGACTTTCCAGAAATAACGTTTGGTCGAAATTTCACAACCTCGAAAGTCATTTTGAGAGGAAAATGTTTTTTCTTTTAAACCTAACTTAACCTAACCTAACCGAACCTAGTCGTGTCTTTGCGACAAACATTCAACATATCCTGAAAGAAGAACTGTTTCGTTATAATTCGGTTTTCGGTGTAATGAAAATTCGAACAAACGTTACTTCGGACAAACAAATTTTCGACTTGGTGATAGGTTACCACACGAGCTTAGTTCTTTTTATTAAATTTTTGTTTCTTTAAACAATATTAGCTCTTTTTATTTTGACACTAAACATGTCTTTTATTTTTAAAACAATAATAAATTTACAGGCGTTTCGCACTGCGGGAAAAAAATATTGGTCACGTTAGGCAGAAATAAAAACATACCTTTTTCAGAATTACTTGATATTTTCCTTGCGTTCCGAATTTGTCCTTTCCCCATCCGGAAGCGACGCACTTTGTACCTCCAGGAACACGTTCGCGCGGTGGGGGCAAGCACACGAGCCCGACATTTGGGGCTAGCTCCATAGGCTTCGACAGGAACATCAACGCAATGTCATAGAAGAGGTTGCCTATAAAAGGGGTTAAGTTTGCTGTTAGAGTAATTCAGTGTTAAACGATGGCTTTGTTGTTGTTCTCATGGACTACTTAAGAAGACTGCTAACCTGCATACTACAGATCCTAACTCTGAAAAAAACGAGGGCAATAACTATTTACTACTTAAATATTCTTTCGAGCGGTTCTAAAGGTTTCTACCTTCCGCCCTGTCCTTTACCCCACTGACCTTCTGTATAAGTCGTGTACGGTACTGTAAGGTAATTATTTATTAAGTCCACAGTTCTCAAACAGTTCGTTGCCCTCCCATATAGTACTGAATTCCTACGATGATACAGAGAAATTATTAATTATCCCAAAATACATGTTGTCTAATTTAAGCATATAAGTTTATGATTTGTATTTTATTGTTTATTTATTACTATTGTTGGTTTATAATTTAATCATATATCCACCTACTACGGGATTCTCCTAGTTCAGGTATATGTGTTATATTTTATGTTGTGACACTTAATTAGTCTTTAGTTATTATTTTGTACAATAACTTATTCAATAAACAATTTATTGATTATTTTTTGTTGTGAATATGTGAAACAAAATGTTTACCTATTGGTTTCTGATCTAGACAATTCGATTTGTCTTTCTATTGAATCGACTCGCATGAAAATACCATTGAAATAAAACGTTAAATCGTATGCACTTGAATCGACCTTCACGAATATCGAATCATAATGTGCATCCTTAGTAATAAGAATCCATAGGATTTGTAAGGTGGGTCCAATACCCAGTTGCCTCTTTGCATCGAGTATATAACCAGAAATAGAGACGAAATAAGGGCCATACATTCCTGGTAACTTATCAGTCATACATCACTTATAAATATCAACTCTCGTTTGCACTGAAATATAGACAGCGCCAACAACTGTGTGTACGTCGCCGTATATTCCAAAAATATTCTGTATTTATTGTAATAAAGGTAATATTATTAATAATGGCGTACTGTTCCATTTGGTGGTGTGGGGAAAAACAACAAAACATCTAATTACAAAACAAACGGAATAAAATTTCATCGGTAATTAAATATTAAATACGTAATTTTGCAATTTTCGTCCATTATAGCAATGCTCAAGTTAATTGCTCGTATTGAAGTGAAACAATTGACGACACCCGTCAATTGTTTCGAATTCGGGCTGGCCAATCGGAGCGCAGTTGTCACAGTAATGATAAGGCAGAATAGTTTTCAAACAAATTGAATGATATTTCGTCTCTATTTTTTGTTATGTATTGGATGCCTCTTTTTAATAAACATGGAATTATACCAAATTCCGTATTACCTGTTTCTGTCCGCGACTTTGGGCAGAAATGGGTTAAAACCCAGCGCTTTGGGTAAAAAAGTTAAACCCCGAGCGCGTTGATTGGGTTTTAACCCATCTCTGGGTGCTGGTGAAATTAAAGACACATGGGACTTGTCAGGACTATGTCGCGGGGTGACAGGCGCAATGGCAGTGCTCCTCAGATCTTGGATGGTATGCTTTGCCGGATGAACTCATTCACAAAAAGCTCAACTGCTGCTAAATTTAAATGAATAAGTAAAATAGTCTGTTATAATTATTAATACAAAAATCAACAAACATTTAAATGCAATGAATAGCAACATCTCTAGCTGGGGCTGGTAGCTGTAAAGGTATTTAACTGGGTGACGAAATATCAAAGATTTCTCATAGACGGCGCTATGGCTAAAAAGTCGTTGAAAAATTCGTGAGGATTTTTTTCTGAGTGTTCGATCTTTGTATCATTTTCAATTATAACAAACTAATAGAGTAATTTCACATAAAAAAAAATTTAATATCATCAAAACACTTAAAATAAATATCATTTACAAACCGCTATTAAAATCCTTATGAATGATCTTCGACTCCACATCCCTGTCCTGGTAAGGATAGATCTCCTTTGTGGTCTGAGTGTCCCATTCTCCAGCGCGCACGCGCATCAATCCGGGCTGGTCTACGTGATGTGCTGCAGTCAAAACTACGCTTGGGTGTATGAGAGATCCTCCACCGACGTAGACATTGAGCTTTTGGCTGTCAGGGTCGTTGCCGTTAACAGGCGCTATTCTGAAATTTTTAAACGGTTCAGTTAATTATGACCAAAAATCTATATACATCAAAAGTGACCAGGGATCAAGCACGTTTTTGCCGATTTCTGCAGTTGTAATTTTTAAGTTAATTGATATAATGAGAATCTGTTGAAGATGGAGGCCCGTCGCCAGGTACATTTTGCTGCATTGCTGTTTGAGGTCATTAAGTCCAAACAGCCTTCGTACCTTTATGACAAGCTCAAGTATATTCTATTGTAGTAGTAGAGCTCCTTGTGAAAGTGTTCGTCCAGGGAAGTACTGCCACCTTACCTATTTCTGCCGCCAAGCAGTAATGTCAGCGGTTTTGAAGGGTAAGGGTGCTGGTGAAATTACAGGCACATGGGACTTGTCAACTTATGTCTCAGGGTGACGGGCGCAGTTGTAGTGCCCCTCAGATCTATGGGATTTAAGGCTCTGAGTGGCACTATAACTTTTTGGACAGGCGTGTCACTTAGTATCATTTTTAAAAAAAGTTATCGTCCATACACGTTAGATAGGCCTCTCGTCTCGTATGCCCTCGACACGGCTTTTGCTATGCAGCCCAAAAATGCTGGAACAACCTACCGCCCCCTATCGGAAATGCTTCGCCACGTTTTACTTTTAAAAAAATACGTATTTGTATTTGTTCAATCTCCAGCATAGCTGCTGATGTATCGGAGATATGGGCGTTTTGTTGTTAACTTTACCTAACTAACAGAATATCTGAATGCTAATTACTACAATATTAATATTTACAAATGCAATATTATTTACAATTGCATTATTGTTTTCATTAGCACGATTGTTTACAATTACGCTATTATTTTACCATATAATTATACTATTATCCATGACTATATCAAATTGTACACGTCTGTGTCGTCAATTGTGTTCCGCGTCTTGTGTTCCCTGTTACCGGATCCACTGAAAATCAATGTCGTAGCACATGCAGTGACAATACACAAAGCGGAATGGATGACGGATTCCGTAACAGCACAGCATGCACACCTTATTATATATCGCTTGATTATTTATTGTTATAGTTATTTGCTTCCTGTTTCTGTGTTTTTTTGTGTATTATCTAATTGTTATGTATTATTTTCATTAATTTTATTTCGGCTTTTTTTCTTATTATTATTATGTTTCGTAATTGTTAAATGTATGTGTGCCCTGTTGTTTCGTTATGGAATAAAAATATTTCTTCCTTTCTTTCTTTCTTGTTATTATATTAGTATTGATCACTGCAATTCGGCAGCATGATTGTTTGTCTAAATAACGCTTACAATGTTATGTTTTACTACAATGAACATTATAGTGAAAATAACGTAGTCCGCCATGTGCAGTCGTGCGGAACCGAATGCAAATGAAAGCCTTGTCTGAGCTCGCACTGTCGGCGGTACATATCGCATAAACTCGAGCTGATGACGGAGCCATGAAAATACATAATGACGTACTTAAGGATGGCAACTGTCCAAGGGAACTCTCCGAACTTGGCTTCCCCTTGTACATCACCGATGGTCTTCATTCCAACTCCTTCAGGGTTACGCCAGCCGCAGCCAGTGCGTAGCGGTTGAGGATTTGGCGTCTGCAAAGAAGATAAAGGGTGTGATAGGGTGTTCATCCTTTAAAAACGTTCATTAATACTCAATACTCAATATATTTATTGTCTTCATATGGTACATAAGGTCTCAACATTAAAATAATGTTACAAATATGAGCCTGTCTGCCTGTCTTAGGGATAACAACAAGAGCAGAGGCAGGCCGAGGCTTAGATTGGTCACTTTAATTGTTCACTATCAATATATGAATATTTCATATATATAATATAATATAATATAATATAATATAATATAATATAATATAAT